AGATTAACATAAGCAATGATATTTCAAGGCAACCTCTCCTCTATCATATATTTGCACTTTTCAAACTAAACAATAAAAATGTGGTAAAAGAACACATTCATTACTGAAAGCTGAATTAAAAAAAATGCACATACCTATATACATTAATGAATAAATAATATGAAATCTCATTTGAGCTAAATTCAAAACATAATAACTGCACTGACATATCCAGTATTCACTCCATACAGGCTGTCCAAAACAGGGTCACAATTATCTTCAATGTGTCTGATAAAATGGACCACAATCCAAAAAAAATGTATACCATATTCATTAGACTACTATGCTAACAGATTAACAGTTACTCCTCCAGCAGCTATCATTATGACAGAGAACGAAAACCAGAGCTAAGTAAAGTGAACAGCAAACAAGCAATATATTTAAACTCAGTGAAATATCTACACATCCATCCACACCAAACACTGCCTCTCTTATGAATGGGATACCCACATTTCAGGCATTATCACAAAAGTTGAACGCTGATAATCCAGGGGATTATTTTTCCAATGATAGTGGAATACAGACATTTCAGAGGAAGACACAACTGACAAAGGAACATGGCATTCAACAAATAATGCATCCAGTTCAGTAAATCTAAAACGATCAGCTCTCCACAATTTCTGACTAGAGATTTCCCATCAACTATGGCAGACCCTCCAAACTACCACCTGTTATTACTTAGGATCAGCAACATGTATTTAACTATTTTTATCTTCTCTTAATGTCTCACGATGTAGAAAATTAAAAAGAAAAAGCTTGTGTTCACATTTTTTCCCAAGTATCTGGCTCCAATATTCTTTGGGATAGTGAAAGAATTCAACAAGGCAGTATGCAACTAGGGACTCTTTCATTTAGTGGTGCATAAAGAGAGAAGGGTAACGCTCAGCTGTAAAAAGGCTGTGTTTGTTTGAATATATTATCACTCAGGAAACAGGGGGAATTTATTTTAGTATTATCAATGAATAAGCATGGGTACATGCAGCACACCGAGTCCTTCCATATTTTTGCAAAATTAACAAAAGGATTCACAGTATCATAAATGTATCCAAAGTTCTTTGAATGAAGCAGTCTTCAGCATTGAGAAACATCTCTTTTGATCATCCTTTAATCCTTAAATAACAATGAGGATATGTTTTTCTTCCGTTTCCAAATTCCTCCTGCTTGGTTATCCAAACTTTCTTTTCAATAGCAGACAACAGGTTTCACTTGATTATACTGAATCCTAATAACATCAAGGAAAGAGTTGTGAACAAAATTCTTTCTTTCTACTTTTAGAAATAACTGGGACAATCTGGATCCACTTACTTAATGGATGTCAGTGGATGAGACTGATTCTGAAAAGAACCAATGAGTAGAGCCACTCAATCTCAATTCCGTTCCAGTGTTGGCAAGACTGAAACTATGCAAGGAAGACTCATTGTTTAGAGCTGCCATTATCGGAACTCTATGACTCGTTCCTGAATAAAATCTATACACTCTCAAGCTACAAAAGATTTCTAGAGAGCAAGTTGGGATACCTTTCACTGTATAACCATCATATTAGAAGAGATATTTGCTTTACTGAAGCACAAAAAAACCGGCAGTTGGTACTACAGATACAATGAATGTTGAGAGAAATGGTAATGTTGATTTGCAGATCAGGACTTTTTGGGAAGCATGAGGTGATGTGAGTTAAACACCAGTTGAATATAGATCACAAGTAATAATATATTCATTTTGAATTGGCAAAGCTTTTAGAAGATGGAGAGACAGATGTTTCCTACAGTAAAAGACACCGAACAATGATGTTTGTTTTTTTTTTAGATGACCAAGCCAATTCATTTTGAAATTCCAAAATTTAAAAGCTCATTTGATACTATTGAGAAATCTGGAATAGAAAGCAATCTAACAGTATATAAATCTTCTGATTCCTGGGAGAATTCAACTCAGATAAATGCCTGAATTCTTCAATCTGTTAGGTTAAAGGACCATCTTTATATTCCTTTTGATTGAATATTGATAAAAATCCATATCAGACTTCTGGATATTAAGTATGCAAGTTCTGATACTGGGTTGCATTCCTTAGGATGAGTTCATGCCAGAGGTCCAGACAAGTGCTATCTTAAAAATCAACCATTTATTCTCTCATTGAAATAGAGGCAACAGAGCTATGTCCAGGGGTCTGCCCTCCCTGCTGATAGGCATCATCCTTGCCCAAGTTGCTAGATTCTACTGCCAAACTGGCAATAAAGTCCCCAAAGCTAAGGGTGCTGGGAGATTTTAATCTGCTGCTTGGTGGCACTCAGTCCAGGACAGCTCAGGAGTTTGTGGACACCACGGCAACCATGGATCTCTTCCAAATCCTCAACAGCCCAACACATACCTATAGCTGCCCACTGATCTGTTTTATTTTGTTTTGAGGCAGTTGTGATGTGATAGTACAGAACTTTAATATCAGTCCATTCTGTGGTAGTAGAGAACTTTAATATCAGTCCATTGCCATGGACAGATAATTCTCCAGTTACTTCCCAACTCACTGTGCTGCCTCCTTATGGAGAGACAGGTTCTATTCCATCAGTCCACTATCACCAGATGGGTGCCGTGGGAGTTTGGGATTTTCCCTGAGGATCTGGAAGGGGTTCAGTTGAGTCTTTGGTGGCCACTTGGAATAGGTAGAATTCTGTCCATTCGATTACATAACTCCTATGTGGTCATTGCCTGTACCCAATTTTGATTTATTGAGGAACTCTGGGAGACAAAGGACCAAAAGATATGGTAGATATGTCATTGGAAGAAGACTTGGAGTGAATGTGATCAAACATGAATAAAAGCCCATATTAAGGATTACCATATAGAAATCAGTATTACCTCATAGGACCTTTTCCTAAGCTAATGTGAGGAAATGCTAACTATCTGGAAGATAAAATCATGCAGATCTGCACTTGTTGAAAGAGAGGGTGATGCCTTCCGTTTTGGTAGTCCTTGAACTCAACTAGCTTATATAACTACTTGGCAAGGTAAGGTTGTCAAGAAGGTGATCAGGCTGCAGTTACAGGGAATTCTGGAGGGAGGGGATTATCTAGACTCATTCCAATCAGATACAGACTGGTATGTAGTATAGCGAGAGCCCTGTTCATACTTATCAATGACCTGAGCTGGAGGCAAGATAGAGGTGGTACATCTGTCCTTGAGCTTTTTCATCTCTCAGTGGTTTTTGATACTGCTAATCACAGATCCTTCTGCACCAATTCTGGGGGTTGGAAATTGGAGTCACCATATTGTTGTTGGTTTTTTCCTTCCTTCAAAGCTTGTTCCAATTAGTGGTGGCTGGTGAAGAAGAGGCTGATCCCTAGATCCCATTTTCATAGGGTTCCGCAATGTTCAAAGCTCTCTTCCTCCTAAAACTTCCTAGTTTTGCATTTTTACCCTGTTGATTGAAAAGTGGACTAATCTAGTTGTAAGGCAACATTAAACTTCCACTGAGGAATGTTTAGGGAAGTACCATCCCACTGTTACAAACCTTTAAACAGTGAATTATCTATACTGCTATTGCCACAGAAACATCCTGTACCTAGTGAGACTAGTATGTAATCCATCCAGATTCCACTCTGTGGACTTGTAAATAATATGTGAAACTATAATCGTTAGCAAATTCTTTATCTCATACTTCTACTAATTTAAACTCAAATAATGTTTCTTAAACATTATTATCAAATTCATGTCTTTTGTCAATATTAATATTTTATCACAGATTGTTATATAAAAGTGAATTCCAATTTATTTGGTACATAAAGGGAAAGTAAAGTAATTATAACCCCCCCTTCAAAAATCCTTTAACAAAGTTATGTCTACTCTTTTTAAGAACATATATCATTTCAAAGAACGTAGAGCTATCAAAAAATAATAGTTAAACCCTCAAGACTTAGAAGACCTCTTGCCATCAATAATAATCTAAAATCTAGCATTTTAACACAAAATTGTTTCTTAAGAATTGCCTGCAACATTGTCATATTTGAATGCCTTGGCTATAACACTGAATCGTTCTTTTGTATATAATTATACATATTAAAACCTGAACAGTTGAAATCACAATTTTAACATTCTTCAATTCTAATCCATCCCTCCTTTTCCTTTCCATTCTATATAGAATCTTACTTGCACAGAATTCAACATTTGCAAGGTAACAAAATCAACACTCAATATATCAGTGTTCAATTTGAGGGACAATACCTCTAAATTATATGTGAATGCAGATCTAAATCTTAAAATTATATAATTTGACATTATGTAACATGAACATCATGCACACATTATTTTAAGCTAGAATTCAAGCTCTGCTTTATATCAGTGCAGTAATAGTAATTAAAGTTTCAGTTTTCCAGATTATTCAAAATTTGGTTTATCTTGTCTAAAAAGAAATAAATTTGGGTATTTTGGGTATTTTCTAAGCCCCAAATAGATATTATGGGGAACAATACTTACAAAGTTCAAGAAACATCAAAGTAATTTGACCTATTAATAGTTTTACACAGTGCAATTATTCAGCCCTAATATTTAATAAAATCCATTTCAACCTCAGTGGTTCAAATACATTACCACAATAATCCTTACAACATCCCTGTAAGGTAGGCTAGAAGTATCATATGTATATAATATATGCCAACTGAGTGGAAGAACAGGTTAGTGGTGGAAATACTATTCAAACTTCCATTTCAGGTTACCATTTTGTTCCATGCAACTAGTTATGGGAGTTTAGAGAAAAAAGGAACTAAATGGATAAAACTAGAGTTCCACTTTACTAAGGAATTCTGTTATATTTTTACTTGGAACCAACGTAACATCGAAATGTGGTTCAATAAAATGAATTATTTCATCACCTCTGTGTCTCAGTCTATCACAGTGGTTCTCAACCTGTGGTCGGGACCCCATTTGGGGTCAAACGACCATTTCACGGGGGTCACCAAACAAGGCTGTCCACCATTTTTTCCCCTTTTCTTTGGCCACGCCCCTGGCACCTGGTGATGTATAAGTGGTTGGGGGTCACCACAGCATGGGGAACTGTATTATGGGCTCGCGGCATTAGAAAGGTTGAGAACCACTGGTCTATCAGATCAAGAATGTTATAAATATTACTAAATCATCAAGAGTATTTGCACCATAGAGGAAAAAATCATTAATTCAGCGCAGCCAGTCAATTATGGAAGCATTTGCCTTCCAAAATGTGTCTAAGGCAGTGAACCACACATAACTTTGTCTAAACATAATTCTTTGCCTCCTTTGCATGTCAGTAGTAGAGAATCCCTCATTCTTTTTCAGCATCCCATGCAGTTTCCCAGAAGTATAACCTACAAACATATAAACTGAGAAAATAAAAACATTATATATTGTTCTTAAATAAAATAAATTTAACTGTTTCAAGTAAAATATAAAATTTAACAATAAACTATCTGAAATAAGTCTTTTTAAATGTGCCATAACCGGCACTGTGAATTCACTGGCCAGAACTCTCCCTTCAGCTTGTAAAGTATCTGAGCACATGGCAACCCATTACCTTGTATCGATCCAAAGGGTCTTCCTGCTGCAGCTGATTCTCCCTCATCATTTGATATTCTCTCTCATATTTCTTTAGCTTCTTTGTAGGCACCTGTAGGTTAATAAAAATAAATAACAAAAGAGGTACTGTTCAGGTTAACATCCGCGGTGAAAAATTACTCTAGCAAGACATATAGGGACTAAGAGAAGTAGGAGCTATTGTATATTGACCATCAGCAAGATAGTCACTTGATCCTCCAAAGAATTGCCAGTACATTTCAAATGAAAATAGATATGTTAACTCTCCTCAAGAAGACTACAGAGTTATGAGACTAAACTTGGGGAATATAATTCAATTCACAATGGAACTTTATGATTTCTATTACTATAGTGGAGGGGAGGGGAAATCCCACATTCCACTGCCAAGAGCAGCAGCTAAGTACCCATCTCAAAATAAGATGGTCTGGGATTTTTGGTGGGGGGATCTTTATAAATGGCACTAATTAGGGATTTGGGACAAATGTATGTGATTATAAGAAAATTATTTTGAAAAACAGTGCACCTCATACGAAGACCCATAATATTTGTGTGGGAGTAGTGCTCCTCCCATTATAATATAAACCACCAAAACTAAAATATAATTGTTCTAATTACAGATAGGCAATGGGAGTAGGGCATAATGAGGCCCCAAAAATGTACACATACTGTATGACAGTACAAAGAGCAATCAACATGAAGATAGGAAAGAATTAATGAGAAATAGGACATACTTAAGCTAATGGAAATTACAGGGGTCTAGGACAATTTGCCGCAGACAACTTGGTGTGGCCTTCTTGCCTCAGCCAACTCACTATAGGTCAACTACTATGGGACAACTTGCTAGAGACAATTTCAAGTGGGAAAACTCAATGTAATAAATGTTATCCACCACTGTTTCTTTCACAGTATTTCCATTGACAAAAATGGAAATAATGTCTAAGAAACAGTAACAGATAACATTTAGCAAGTTCAGTTATCATGCATGGAATTTTCTGTGGCAAGTTGTCCCATGGTAAGTTGACCATGGTGAGTGGGGTGGGCGTGGCCTCCACATGATGCAACCGGCCCATGGGCCGGCAGTTTGACACCCCTGATCTAGAGTCTCATCAGACAGCCTAATGCAGTGCACACAGGTAACTTATCCAAAGTTCTAAATATTATCAAAAAAGTTCTTTTGATGGGAGGTCTGTAAACGGAGTCTTAAAACTTGTCTATTTCAAATGACTCTGATAACTGCCAAAACAAAAATGAAAAACTTGGACTTACAAAGATTTCAGCTTTTATACAAATCAGATAACATAAATGAAGTTGACACAGAAAAAAGTTAACCCAGATAACCCCAGCCTGGTGTAACTTTGGCAAGAAAGTTTAATGAAAATCCTAAGTATTTTCACAAATTCTACTGAAAGCAAAATAGATGTTTTTATTTCTCACATATACCCAATCAGAGACACACACAATCCCCTTTTCTTTGTGTCCTTGGCTCAAAACCTATCACTCAAAAGCCAGATTTTGCAGGAATAGAAGCAAAGCTCACTAGAATGCTTTCTATTCTTTCTCTATTTTCCACTTGGGAACGCAGCATATTTGTAGCACAGTGAGTTGCTAGGATACCTCTCTGTGAGTGCCTATCTTGTATTCTCTGCTGCTTTACCACTATCTCTGAACAACAGAAGCATCTGTAAATACAAGGAAGAAAGCATAAAATGATAAGGAAACCAACTACCATTAAAACGAATGATATGGTATATGAGATGTGGTGTAACCTATAGTGTTAACTGGCTGCTGAATAAAATAACTGTTTAATAGCTTTTTATAAATGATCCTAGATAAAAATGAAAATGAGAATATACACATGATACAGCTTTTCCAAATGATTATGGTTCTAGTGAAACAACAAAGATTTTTTTAATATTTTCCATAAGGTACTGCCTACATTAGCTTACTGGATTTGGGAATGACTGAATAGAATGGAATCTTGAAGTAAAGATGGACAGCTCAATGCAAATTTCAATCCGGCGTTTAGCTGCTTAAAAAGGAAAAATTCCTATACCAGGAATGATTAGGAAATGAATGGAAAATAAAGCAGCTGAAGTAATAACATGAATTGACAATGTAACTATACTTTGCAATATTGCATACCAGAAAGTAGTTAAATTGGAAAAAGAAAAAAAAAGATCAATTAAAATACTGAAAGAACTAGAGCCAACGTTTTAGGAGAAAAGACTACAGCAACTGGTGTTTTTGGTGAAAGCAGATGAGGCAGGTTAGGCATGCTATAAAACATGCAAAATAATCAACTGCCTGGACAGAAATTACTTTTGATCTCTCAGTACTAGAACGTGGAGTCCTTAGGGCAGTGGTTCTCAACCTGTGGGTCAGGACCCCATTTGGGGTCGAACGACCATTTCACGGGGGTCGCCAAACAACGCAGTCCGCCATTTTTTCCCCCTTTTCCTTAGCTGTGCTACTCCCTCTTTTATTCTATTGGCTTTTGAAAGCCAATAGAATAGACTCTCTTGAATAGAGTCTAATTCTATTGGCTTTCAAAAACCAATAGGAATTGTCCAGGCTGGCTCTGCCCTGCCAAAAGTCCCATTCTGCAAACAGTGCTGCAAGTTGTCTGCAGCGAAGGCGAGCTGTCTGGAAGCTTCCACCCTTCCCTCCTGAGCAACTGCTAAAAATGTAAGTAAAAGAGGACCAGAGGTGGGAGGTGGGAGGCCGGCGGGCTCAGAGAGGATTGCTGGCACGCGTGGGGCCCGGTGGGTGCCTTACCTCCTTTGGGCTGGGCCAGCTGGTAGCCCAGCCGGTGGTCAGCCTGCGCTGTCTCTGCTGCTTGCCAGCTACACCTCGGCCGGCAAGGGGGCGGCACCACGCATGTGTGGTGCTCCTGGGCAGGGAAAGTCCTCGACTTATGACCGGTTGGGGGTCGCGGCATTAAAAAGGTTGAGAACCACTGCCTTAGGGCAATGATGGCGAACCTTTTAGAGACCAAGTGCCAAAACCACAACCCAAAACCTACTTATTTATCAAAGTGCCAGGGCCGCATCAGCATCAGATGGACCCCGGAATAGAACCAAAAAAGGGGATAAGTGTAAGCAAGCAAAAGCAACCGGCGTATGCTAGCAGAAAGAAAGTGACTGAGCCCCCAAAAAAGAAAATGGTAACCTCAGAAGATACCAACACAACAAGAGACGTGTGCCCTTTAAGAACAAACCAAGTAGAGAAAACGGACGGACCGATGACTAGATCGAGAAGCCGGGCGCAGAGCCATCCGGCAATTAAACGCAACACTGAAAACATGTGGGTTGTTCAAAGAAGGAAGAAAAGTCAAAGTTAAATATTAATAAGAAGCACAGATCTACTGTATTTATCTCTCCATTAAGCTACTTAAATTTTCTCTGGTAGAGAGAGAAAAAAGTCCAGAATTTTAAAATAAAAAATACAAAGTCTCCAGGGAAGTTGAAATCAATGCTATTTTAAGGCCATTTCATATTCTGAAGTAGCATGGAAACGTGTTAATCAATTGCAGTTTCTCACATCGCTCTGATAATATTTAGATATAGAGATTACTTAATTACTTAATCCATACAGAAATAATTCATCTCGATTTAAAAACTAAAGGATTTCAGAGCAGCAAAAAACCTTTTTCCTTTGAAAAAATTCATATTATTGAAAATGCCTGCATCCGTCTTACATTCAATGTTATTGGTGTAACAAGAGAAGAAGCCAAAACAATTGTTTTGTGGTATCATAGCAATAAATTCTTGCAATGTAAGATTAAAGCATTATTTTTAAGATGCCTTTTGCCAGTCAATATTTTAATATTTCTAAAATGTTATAATCAGAAAAAGCATTTTAGTATTATGTGAATATTAATTTTCAAAAAGTGATAAAATAAGACCCAGTACATTCACTAGCTTAATAGATCTGTCTTTCAGAAACAGATAAAAGAACAGTACTAAGAATCTATATTTGTATATAAAGTTATTCTTTTGCTTTATTCCAAAATCAATTTCTATGAGACAAGAAAAAAGACTACTTATCTTTTTAGTTACAATGTATGTACTGAATGTTCTAATGAAGAACACAAATAATTCATTGGAGAAATATTAATTAATACAAATCCTCTCCATTATTTTAGAATAGAATTTTGATCCAACATTTTTTTAAAAAATGATTTAAAAAAAAACTACAGAAAATTACATAATCATCTATATTCACAATGTTTTCTGAAATATGGACTCTTTGTATACATTATTTCCATTATCCTATTAAAATATTTAGCTAATCATTTTAGGAGTTATTTCATTTTTAGAATTAAACACAGAGAACAACTAGTTTGAACAAAATATTTTGTTCATTCACATAAAAATTGATTACATTTTGAATAAATTAGATATCCCACAGAATGATGTACAAAATATAATTTACTTCTGAGACTGCAGAATTGGCTCAGGAAACAATCTACTTGTGAAACGCCCCATGTTGCCTGATGGGGTCTTTGACATCACAAAGACCTGAATATTATGCAAGTTTAAATGGCTAATTTATAATAAACAAACAAACAAATAGCATGTTTGATAGCAAAAGTCAAATTCCAGAACATTTGATATATTTCCCTTGTTATTGCTTTCCATGTATTTTAGGCAGATTAATAAACTACTAAAAAAATGAGAAGGGCAAACCCTTCAGACTTTGTTAATGTAAATTACTGTCATATGATGGGAATTTTAATTTTCCTGTTTTCAACACTATCACTAGTATTTCTCTTAACTTCTATTTTTAAATCCTATTTGAGGAACCAAGCAGAATTAGAAAATTATTAAGCAAATTCTCTGATATTTCCTTTAAGGACTGTCACCCCCAGCTGGAATCTGCCGGCCCATGTGTTCAGATGGGGAAGGGTTCTATTCCTAGAAAAATGCATGTGGCCCTCATCTATGGAGGCCCCAGAGATTCACTTGGTCCTGCTAACTTTCTGTCAAGTGCTGTTTGGCCGAACTTTTGTCAAGTTAGGTGTTTTTTGTTAATTAATTGGATAATGTATTTTTTTTGTAAAGTATGCTCCTTATGATCTTAAGAGGCAATTATTTCAACAAAGAAGCTCTCTTTTCTGTTTACTCCATAGCCAGGGACAGAATAGTTAGAGACACAAAAAAAAGTTCTTGTCAACTTGATTATGCTGGAAGTGTAAACTGAGTGAGGGTACATTTGCTCACAATAATTAGGTCTACCCTATTATAGCCAGGTCTTGGTTTAAAATCTATACATTAGTTAATATCATGTTACAGAGATCTATAATATTTAACATATTTTAAATTACACAATAAAAATGGAAATTATCAGTATATGAAGAACCAAGTAAACTGTATGAACATTTACCAAGCATTGTAGTATAACAAAAAAAAGAATGATCTTTGATATTGGAAAGACAGTGCTATTCCATGAATACAGTCTTGGATCAATGATTTTTTCTTCCCAGCATATGGAAAGGTGATAATACTATTCAAATATGTCAAGTTAAGCTATAAATTCATTATTCAAGATTGTTAGGGCTGATTTCAAAAATCTTCCCTATATGTAATATAATATGATCTTGAAGGTTTTTTTTACATTAAAACAATGTTGTTTAAAAATTGATATTTTACAAAATCCATATTGTACTCTGCTTTGTATTTCAAACTGACTCCAAAAACATATTTGTTATGTTTTATTAGCACTGCATACTACTGTATTACAATAATAGTACTGTCAAAAAGGATAGTTACAGGTGAGGAGTGGTAGAATTAGCATACTTGTAGGCAGTGCTTTTTTTGTAAAAAAAAAAAAAAAAGGTGCCGGAACTCACACGTCATACAACCCGCCTTGCCTACCTACAAGTTTCCATCCAAAAAAAGTGCCGTAACTCCATTCTGGGCGTTCAACAAAAATATATGATTGAAAATATTTTCTTGAAAAATGCTACTTCATAGGTTTAGCACTGGAAAATGTCAATACTAAATCCTTCACTAGCTGGGTTCAAGCCAAATATATTTCCTTTCCTTTATCTCTATTCCAGATTATGTTCTATGTACAGTATCCCTCCATGACTGGAAGCTGATCAGCCATTTTTACACAGGCTTTTAGTAAGAATTTTAATTAGTGGCTTTGGTTGCTAGCTTGTCTTAGTGCTGTCTAATGGTTTGAAAATTCTGCTTTTAACCATCATGGCCAATATTAACAATCACACATAAACTGAGGCAATATCCTTTTGATATTAAGAAAAAGTATTGTTTGTTTCTATATACAGATATAAATGCCCTGATATGATTGTGCATGGGGCACTACTGGAAATTGGGTTCTTGTATTTTATTTCATTATTCTTATTCTATTATTTTCTAAATGTTCTATCCTATTGGAAAATGGGGTAATTTATTTCATTTCATTCTTTTACTGAAATTTGTACTAAGAATTTCTCTATTATATTCTAAAAATATTGCCCAGATTTTCAAGTAATTTTTCTTCACAGATTGAGGCAAGTGGCAAAGGTTGCAAAGGTTTACAGTTCTTATTAAGCTAAGATTTACCATGATACTTTTATAAAAATAAAACCTTGTTTCTATTTTTTTTTATTTCTCTACGTATAATTAATTGTTCCATCTGGTGATTGTTAAGAACAAGTGTTTACACATGTATATTCATATCTGAATGAAGAATCAAAATACATTAATGGTAACATATTTGATATGGAAATCAAAAAGATTAGATGTTAGGTTTTCTGAGTTAAATAGATGAGGATGAAGGGTGGAAAACATTGGAACCCAAAATAGGAGTTATATTTTTAATTCTTCAGTTTTAATTATGAATGTTGATCTTTTTGTGACTTGCTTATATCTCCCTGTACAAAGTACTATCTCAGCATATCAGGCTATTCACCAAATGCATATACACAAATACCTACTTGACATGCAAATATAAAAATGCTCATTTACTGCTAGAAGCTGCCAAAACCTTTATCTGGAAGGCCAAAACAATTAACTAATTGTTTAATAATTTTATTAAACTAAAGCACAAAAGGAAAGGATACAAGTCTGCATTCCACTTGATTGTTAAGGATAAATTAAATTCATTTGGAAGCACTCTAGCATAGTTTATTGTTTTATTAGATAGTAAATATTTTTTGTAAAGCATTATGGTAAAGTTTGTGGTGAATGGAAACTGTGTCTTATTCAACAATATACTTGCCCAAAGAGAATGTGCTTAAATCATGATTACTGTATATTGGATTATTCAGTATAAATTCTGCTCAGCTAGATATTTGTACAACTAAATTAAGGATTAACATTCCCAACATTTTCAAGAGTATAGTGGACTCAGATTCTATAGAAGCAATACAATAGCCAGACTTAATGCTCCAATGAAACTAAGTACTGCAGAGAAACATTAATTTCTTTAAAGCCAACTTTCTTCTATGAAATTTACCTCCGTTCTCTATTGTCAAGTGAAACAAAACACACAAATACATGTAACACATTCTTTTTTGTACCTTATACTAACACAAATAAAATATAGGGTGGAGAAGATTTCTTTTGTGTGTGCGCAATAAGCTCACTAGTTCTACAGGTTAAGCAACATGAGGTTAAATAGCTAAACTAGAGTACAGTAATTTTAGGGTCTCTTATTCATGTTAGGAGCACTAAAATATAACCAAATCCATCGGTGTTCAGAATTGCACACAAGAAAGAATCTGAAATGTTTCAAAACAATGTTGCAATCCTGAAACTGTTAAAACTGTTAAAACTCTTAAAACAGTGAGGGCTGAAAAAGATAAAGAAGGCTTATTTCATGTTACAGACATTAAAAATAAATTGGAGCAAATCATATTTCATAATATAAACACCTACCACATGTCTAGGTTTGCTGATTGCCACCAAGTTGGCTAGAAAATCTTCATCATACAGCTGGCTAAAGACATGAGAGTCGTAGGCCATCACGACGGAAATTTCTTCCATCATGTTGTCAGCAAACTCTGGTTAGCAGTGACCAGCAACAGGACAAAGAATTAGCTCAGTTCAGCTTAGCTCGGTGTGATTTTTTCACAGCAGCCACCTGAAGGGACTAGGCAGGGAGTGTCACCGAAGAAACAAAAAAAAAAAAAAAAAAAAGGAAAGGAAAAGGAAAAAGAAAAAGAAAAAGAAGCTACCATAGCCAATGAGAACAGTTCCTGGATGTTGCTTTTCCTTTGGGAGTTTTCTTGGTCTCTGTGGGCCACAGATAGTTGAAACACCTGTTCATATGTCCATATGGTAACAATCTTTCCTTAAGTTTTCTTCAAGTATAAAAAAATAATCTTCCAACAGAAAAGTAAATCCAAAAGAAGCTGAGAAAAAGAGGAATGTTTCAGTCCACAGCTAAGAACTCCTATGTTCTCACAAAGCTTTCTTTAAATGCAATATTTAATCACACTAGATTCCTTTTAGTGGAGGAGTCAGATTTCTCAAGGGAAGTTGTTTTATGCTTTTTCCAAAGATTTGCACAGTAGACATGAATAGCATTCTGTCACAATTGGGATTTTTCTGTATAACCTGACAGATATTTTGGAAAGAATCCATATTTGCATGGTTGGATGTGTTTTGAAGGCACATTTGATTTTTTAAAAAATATTCTAACATTAAAAAAATATTTGGTATCTTCTAAATGGAGGTGCAAGGTAACACAACCAAGCTTTCTTTGTTAGTCAAAAAGTAAGATGGTAAAATCTTATTTAAATGATATTCATTCAAAAGAAATAAACTATTTTTTTCCAGAAATGAAAGAAACTCCAACTCACTTTTATATGCAGCATCCCATCCTTTTGAATTTTTAACTGAAAAAGGTATTGGTCATTTCAGAGAACTAATAGATTGATCAACACACCAATAAAGAAAACCTTTAAAAACTGTTAAAATTGTATTTCCATCTATGTTTCTAAAACATTGGAAAACAGCACCCATGAAATAAAAAATAGAATATATTTTAAAAATGATTCATTCCATTATTGTTTCCTGCAATATTCTCTCCTGACTAGCCCTGTGATATAAAGCCTAATTATACATACATAATGACAGAAGTGATACTGTAATGACAAATGTATGCTTCCTAATCCAATTGTCACATGTTTGTCACTTGCAAAATGAAAATATAACTTTGCTCTGCCCTCAATTTCATTTTTCTCAGCAAGCACTCCCAAAATATTTCATGTCATATTATGTACAGTTAAATAGCAAACCTGGGAATATCCTTTGTGTTTTAATAAGAGAGAAATAAAAGCACCATATTATTGTTGGGAAACTGGACAGAATTTTAATAGGTTTAAACAGAGAAAGCATGAATACTAAATCCTGGAGATTAAAATATTTCATATTTAATCCAAAAAGCTATTTTAGTAATGCAGTTTGGTGATGTTGAGGTTAATGCGGGCTTACTTGTTTTCTTCCCAATGAAGGCAGCTCTGATCCATTATTGTAAAAAAGTAATTCTTCTGTATCATCAGTGGGTAGAATTCTTGCCTGTCATTCTAAAATCTAAATCCTCCACTTAGATTCTTCAGATTGTGTCACTGGGGTAGCGAATCTTTTCACAAAAGCATTTTTTAAAATAACATTTTCTGACTTCAACTTCCTGGTTGAAAATCCTTGCTAGAAATGAAAGTATTCTCCTTTGTAGTTCTATCAGTCTGACTCAGCAAGGGTTGATAATGTGTGCAGAAGGTGATTGAACAAAGACACCTGTTGTAGCAAGGAATGGAACTTCCCATGATTCTTTGCTGCCTAGGAAGGTTTTCAAAAAGATCTACTTACAACTGAGAAATGCCTAGACTTCAATGGTGTTTACCCTCTCATATATTCTGTGTTAAAGACCAAAAGATGAACCAGGAAATGGTAAATTTCCCCCAAACTAAGAAAAAAAAACACTTTAAAGGACATATTCTAGATATTATATGACTCAAATCAAATGCATCTGTAAGCAAAAAGATACAAAAAATAGCTTTACCATACCCCACTTTAGCCAAACTACATACCCCCACTTTAGCCAAACTACATGAAGTAGACTTTTTATGGACTTACAAATAACACGATTCATTTCTGGATAGTAATCCTAACCTTAATTTTTCTTTCATTTAGCCATCGAATATATTCTATTAGTTCTTTTTTTTTTTAGCTTCTATGCACAGCTTTCTAAAAGACAATCCAGGCATTGGATTGCCTGGGAGGATACCTATGTGTATAAGAGAAGAGTCATAAAAATTATCCCTTTCCATTAAAAAAAAATTACCAAAACTGGGCAGCTATAATAAGTAGCTTGTTAATAGTTTGTGACTAATTGCCATCTTATCTCAATTTTTAAAAATAAGGCTGTGGTACTCTATCAATATTCCACAATGATCTTTCAGTAGAATATATGGCAAAATGTTTCTCATCCTCCTTCCTGTTTTAATGATTTTCATCTAGGAGCTTAAGTTTCCAACTCTCAGATACATTTGTACTAGTTTAAATTAACAGTGTTCAAAAACACCATTATTTTTAAACTTCCTTTGCATGCCATGTACAGTGTCTACAGATATAGAAAGTGTGTGCCCATTCAGACACTGATTACTTCTAGGATATCTATTCCATCTCTTATTTGGTACAGAGATATACAGTTAGGTTTCACCAGCACACCCTTTTATCTCACCCTGATGTAACGGATAACCTCTCTCAGTAGTTTCAGATGCTAAACAGGATAGGGAAGAGGATCAAGCCCTGCAGCACCTCAAAACATATCCAAGGGCCTCTATCATTTCAACTGATTCTGTCCATCTGGCTTCCCAAAAAATATGAGTTATTTTTTTCATAAAGTGCTTAGACAAGTGATCATAATTTCCACTAATTTGTTCTTCTGCCCATCCTACGCTTAAAGGACATTCTCAATAGTATAGCTGGCAAAGATTTTGCAAATACAATAAGAATGGAGAATTAATTTGGCTTCATAACAAAGTAGGTTTAAATTTGAACATGTATCCCTGTCATATCATATTTGCTTCTTGTTTTCCATCAGCATCACTTCATGGAAGTATCCCTCAGACTCCTAACAAGAGACACAACACACTTCTGAAGAAGTCTGAGATCCATTGGCAATCTCAGAGGCACCCAGAGGCACCAACATCCCACATATTAATTTCAAGCTATGAAAATCATTGTAGCAGCGTATCAACACACATATCTTGCCAATAGACCTGTCACTTTCTACTCATCCAAAATGACTGCCACTTTGGTAATAACATACATCAGAAATCAGTGGCACCATCACTGAGGTGCACATGCCTGGCTCCACAATTTTCCAACATCTTCATAGCTTACTCAGAATGCTTTCTCAGTTCTTACCCCCTAAAACTGCTCCTTTACTTGATATTCGCTGATGTCATTTTCATAATCTTGGACCCATGAAAATGAATCTCTCTGAAAATTGAAATTCCGTTATGATCTCAACAACTTACATCCCACCATCAAACTGAGCCCATCTCAATCGATCTATCAAATTAAATAAATAAATAAAGCTATTGTCTAAATATCACAGTAAAACTACTCAACGGACACATAAGCATTTCATACAGTAAATCTACATATCAGGAAGTGAGTTATAACTCACAAAAACATACACTTTTTAATAAAATGTGTTCATTTGAAAAAATGCTACCAGACTCCTCCTCTTGGGTAAATAATTGCCAAGTGATTCTCTTGAGTCCTCTTTTCAACATTCAACAGTATTTCTACATTTTTAGCAAATTTTCCTTTTTTAAAAGTTCAATTATCAAAAATATTTTTAACTTATGCGTGTTAAGTACAATATCATATTCAAAATTGTCTTAACAACATTTACAACCTGTATATCAGCTCCTCCAAATCGCAATGGTCCCTTTATTCATTCATTTGCTTACTAACATATAACAGAGTAACTTTGCAATGGGTGGTTCCATAATCAAGTGTTTGTACTGTTATGCTCTGAGTAATATAACTGATGTGAGGGTAACTGAATCCACTAATTATTGCACCAAGTTTAAGGAAGTCATTGCTTTAGCTTAGCTGGAATTTCTCGGAAGACCAGAAAAATTGCTCAGTCACTTCCTTAAAATCTTCTCATGAAATGTTAGAATAACTGACAATACTTAATATTTAATTTGTAATACTTTAAAAAGTAATTAAAATTATGACTGCATTCAAGACAAGACAGTCAAAATCCAAACTTTTCATAATGAATCCATTCTGTGCAAAAACTAATTGAGTACAGTGATTTGAATAATGCCTAAAGAGAAAACACTTGTATGAAGCCAAGATTTTAAGATGAAAACATAAAACCAGAGAGAACAGTTACACAACTGTTTTGAAATTGAAGTGTTTTTTTCTTTTACATTATGAACACATTATTTAAGCAGAACTTGGGTCTACATATGTACATAGAAAGATCTTACTATAAATTTTACACTGAAAACATTCTTCTAAACATGTGATTTAGGAATATGTTAAATATCTTTGAGATATTTTGTACATTTGACAACAATTTTTCTAAACAAATCTAAAATAGTAAAAATAAAATAAAAAAAAATATAATAAATAAAATAAAATAACAAATGTGTCCATCCATCTTACTGTCTGTCATCTTCTCTTTTCTTCCACCTTTCCCAGCATTAGAGCCTTCTCCAGGAAGTTATGCTTTTGCATAATGTGTCCAAAGTAAGATAATTTGAGCCTGGTCATTTGTGCTACAAGTAAAAATGCTTGGTTGATTTGTTCAATGATCCACTAATTAGTTTTCTTGCCTCTCCATAGTATTCTCAGGAGTCTTCTCAAATACCAAACTTCAAAAGCATTAATACTCTTCCTATCCTGATTCTTCAAAGTCCAACTTTTGCTTCCATCAGGGAATACCATGGCTTGCGTAATCTTTATAGGTGCAGAGACACCATAGCATTTGAATTTTTAAAGGCCTACATTGATGCTTTACCACATGCTAGGATGATGCGTATTTGTGACTGTTCCATTACTGTTGATGGTTGATCCTAAAAGGCAGAAGCTATCTACCACTTTGATATCTTCAGATATCTGATATCTAAGGCTGTCATTAGTTTGGACTTCTTTATATTTAATTTTAGTCCCATTTTTTCATTTTGCTCATTGACTTTTATTATTAGAGCTTGAGGATCCTTTGCATTTGAGGCTATCCAGGAATTATCCTCGGCATAAACATGTTATTGATATTTCTTCCTCCAATTTTAAAATCATGCTCATATTCTCCACTCCACTTTATACAAATTGAATAAATAAAGGGGGAGTACACCGCCTTGTTGTACTCTTTTGCCTGAAGCCAATCTGTTTTACCATATCCTCTCTTACTGTGGCTTCCTGATTTATTTATTTTTTAATTTTTTATTTTCTTTTTCACCATACACCATACATCAAAACAAAATACATAAATATAAATCTTTTCTTTTAACAGAACAGTGCTATACATTTTAACCATTCTTTACATCTTATTTACATTTTATCTCCATCATTAGTTATATCTTTTTCTTTCTCTGTTCTAGCAATTATAACATTTATTCCAAATTTCATGAAATTCTGTCGCCTCCTTGTCTTTTAATTCTAGTGTATGTTTATTCATTTCTGCGCATTCCAAGATTTTATACATAATCATGTCATTTGTGGGTGTATTTTCATTCTTCCAACATTGAGCATATGCTATCCGCGCTGCAGTCAATATGTGTATAATGATGTGTTGGAGTTGTTTTTCAATCTTTAAATTTATTATGCCCAAAAGAAATGATTCCGGTTTGAAGTCCATTTGTACCTCAGTTATCTCCTGTATCCAATCTCTTATTCATTCCCAATAGTTTTTTGCTTTAGGGCATAGCCACCACATATGATAAAATGTTCCTTCTCTGATATTACATTTCCAGCACTTCGGGTCCATGTTTTTATGCATTTTGGCCAATCTCGCCGGTGTTAAATGCCATCTATAAATTATTTTATATTGATTCTCCCTGTACGCAGTTGATAGCGTCAATTTGCAATTTATGTTCCATAATCTTTCCCATTCCTCTAAATTTATATTTCGCCCCACATTTCATGCCCACGCTATCATCGGCCCCTTCACTATTTCTTCCTCTAACTCTATCTCTAATAAGTATTTATAAATTTTTGATAATAATTTTCCTTCCTTACTTATTAGAATTTTATCAAGTTGATGTGGGGTCTGACGTATTCCATATTCTTGCCTATCCCTATTATATCTAGATTGAATTTGTAAATACGGCCACCAGTCTATGGGTATTCTTTGTTCCTCCAACTCTTCTCTTGACTTAAGGCTTCCTCGGTTATCTAGTAAGTCTTTGTACCTAATCATCTTTTTTTTCCTCTAATGTATTGGGGTGAATCACTGCCTCCATCAGCGAAAACCAATTTGGAATTTTCCCATAGTGTCTTTTTTTATTTTTTCCCATATCCCGATCAATGCTCCTCTTAGCTGATGTTGCTGGAAATATGTATATATTTTCTTCTGTTTCCCCCATAGGAATGCATGCCAGCCCGTTTGTAAATCATGTCCCTCAATCATTAGTATCCTTTCGTTATCCAAGTTTATCCAGTCTTTGATCCATAATAATCCTGCTGCATAATAATAGATTTCCCATTTAGGGAGTCCAAGATCACCTCTACTCTTACTGTCTTCCTGATTTGTATATAAGTTTTTTATGAGATCAATGAGATGTTTTGGCATACCCATGTTTCTGAACACATTTCACATATGACATGGTCAATAATGATCTATTCTATAATCAATGAAGCATACAGTGATTTTTTTATATTCTTTGACTTTCTCAATTATCCCTCATGCATCAGTAATAATATCTTAAGTTTCTCTCCTTTTCTAAAGGCATCTTGCACATCTGGGATCTCTCCATGGCTGCAAGAGAGTAAGTAGGCATACAATGGGGAACATATATTTAAAGGAATGTGCTAGCATTGCCTGTTTGCCTAACACCCTCCAGCCATGTAGGAAGCAAACAAAAGCTCAAGGTGTGAAAGTGATTAAAGTCCTATCAGTTACAGGGAACAGCTGTGAGCTGACCAATAAAGGTCACAGAACTGAGCCTGTTAATTTGCAGTTAGCACTTTTTAGGGATTTGTTGTTTTGCAGAGAAAGACAGCTCAGCAAGAGATTGTATGTTTAGTCAAAATTATTTTTTTCATCATCGCTGCAGTTCAGAACAGTTACTAAATAAAGAATACTGTCAAACTGGGGGTGTTCTGGAATAAGATCTTGTTCTCACAAAATTAGAACCAAGCAGCAAAAAACTGAATTAAAACTGGCTTGCTAAAATAAGGGGCAGTGGAAACTATCCCTCCTACCCAAAAGAAAGTAGTTTCAAGCCTCTTGCACTATGCAAGGAAAGATTACAAGACTTTAAAGCTCGATTTTACTGGAAACAGGGCTTGTGTTTGATAAACAGTAGTTGGAATTCTTTCATGAAACCTTCATTATCTTTCTTACAAAAAACTTATTGATCACAGATATGCCTGCTTGTATCTGTTTCTAGTTCTAGTGTATGGTTGAGAAAAGCTTATCAACTGGAAATGTTTACATGATCCTTTGCAGCCCATCAAATATTTCTAGGAGTGCAATTTGTTGGTAAAAAATATTGTGATGTGGAAAATAAAGTAGCAGCTAGTGGCCACATATGCATATTCATGAATGAAGGCAAATATAGGTGTCCGAGGATAATGATGCAAAATCAAATTTGGGTCAGTCACTGGGACCAGAGATTTCCTCTACCAATGAGATCAGGTTTCCTCATCTGACCGCTTGCCATCTGGTGGTTAGCTTCCTCCCCGCCTGTCCTACAGTCACAGGGGCAATCCATGCAGGGGATCCAGTAGATTACAATGGAAGTATCTCCCACCTCCAAGCAATCTTTACAGATCGAGCATCAGATGAGGAGACCCAAACTCACTGGTATCCTCACATTTAATTTCGCAACAACTAAGATCATTGGCCATGTAGATACAAAGGTAACCAGGGAAATAATTGAAGCCTGGGAAATTTGCCCCTTATGAGTATAAACAGGAGTGGGGAATTACCACCAGCTTATCAAATACTTAGGAGCCTAGGGCTTAGCAGCCCAAGGAAACAATAGCCGATCGCCAGCCATCAATACACCAATCAGCCAATAGGAAGGCACCACATAAACACAGCTCACAGAACAGCCCAAAGCACATATTCCAGTAGAGAAATTCCCTGAAGGCGGGCTCCAGCATGAGCTCAGAAAGCTCAGAAGAGTACATCTCTGGTCCTGGTGATTGACCCAAATTCGATTTTGCATATATGCATATTATTATGAAAAATTCTAATTATGACCCTACTACTTAGTTCCTCTTTCAAAAAAGCCAGAAATTAGAGAACAAGAACAAACCATGGGTTTTCATTAGAACTCTAGTCTGTTAGACAGGTAACTAAAAGACATCCAATTTAGCATTGTAAAATAATGACAGATGCTTCTGCTATTTATTATTGTTTAGCTGTTCCTGTTGACTGTCACAACTAAGAGGAATTGATAAAAAATTATGCATCAGCATGTTTGCTTGCTCAGTTTGTACCAGAATTCTTCACTATTCCAATCTACCATGATACACAATTAAAAAATACCTCCTAGAGCAGGGGTGTCAAACTCAATTTCATTGAGGGCCGCATCAGCATTGCGGTTGCCTCGGGGGCCAGGTGGGTGTGGCCAGGGTGGGTGCAGCCTACTGGGTGGGCATGAATGGTGTGGGTGTGGCCTACTGGGTGGGCATGGCCAGCTCTACATCGTTCGCGTCAAGGATGCCTGTGGGGGCCTGGGCAGGAGTGGGACAGATCTGAGGGTCTCTGGCAGAAGGGGGTGGGACCGGGGTAAGCACGAAGGTATGGTCCATTTCTTCATTCCTCACAAAGAGTGACACCTCCCCAGCATGCACCCAGGGAGCAGGGCCGACGCGGCAGGGACTGGTTCCTCGCTGTTTCTAGACGGCTTTGTGGAGCTAAGACTGAATGTGTTTCAGCAGAGATGGCCATCACAAAATTGTACATTGGCTCCCGGCCGGCCTGGACCAGGGCCAAGGCAGCCAGGGCCATTCCCTTACTGTTTCCAGGATGGCTTCGTGGGCCACATCCAGCCTTGTGTTTGACATGTCTGTCCTAGAGTACCGAACTACAGATAGGTAATTTAAAAAATGTAGAAACATAATGGCATTATGAATGCTTTCCTGAGATTGGGTCAATATCATAATAATAACTGTTCTTTAATAGAGTTATAATTAATTTAATTAATTATTAAATAAGTAACCTGGTCAAAAGGAAGTACAATATATACAGCACTAAAAATATTTTTTACACAAACATCTCACACCACTGAGGCAAGAGCAGAAAGAATTGATACAATGGTTCAATGAAAAATAAATATTTGATCATTTTGCAATGTTATTGGAAGAAACATGATATGTTACTATGTTTTTTGCAATTTAAAACAGCAGTTCCAAGCTTTTCCAGCTCAGCCGACTGGCAGCAGTGGCAGTGGCAGCAGATGGAGGTGATAGTTTCACGCATGTGTACGATACTTGTACAAATGGAACTTCCCGCACTTGCCCGCTGCTTGTGTGGCCCAGTTGCCAATGGGCCATGGACCAGTAGTGGTCTGCAAACCGGGGGTTGGGGACGCCTGCCTTAGAAAATCCTAAAATAAGTGCATTTACTATAAGCTGTAAAATGGCCCTTCAGACATTATATTGCTCAAACAAACCATTAAAGCCACATAAAAACAGATTTGAGAGATTGTTAGAGAGACTAGGGTTGCAACTGAACAGAGACATTTGTAGCAATTATTGATAAACAGAAGAGTAACTAAAGGGTTTAAAGCCAATAGCATTTTAAGAAACAAAGAGATGGCCTTTTATTTCCCATGTTTTTCTTTACATCAGCAAAGGCTGATTGTTATTTTGCCAAACTCTCAAGGAACTAGATCGATGTGCCTTTAGAACAGTTTGCCATATTAAAGTTCATGTTTGCTCAAGCAAAATGTGTGGACTATGCCAATTTTTTTGACTAAAATGTTTCTCCAGTTTATCATTAGAAGATACCACCACAGTATTACAATATCTCCTGAAAAGCTGCTAAATTTGTTACTACTGTATATACCTATCTGTTGCTTAGGAACTATCAAAACAACAGTATTTACACATTTTTCCTGGACCCCTATCTTATTGATTCTGATTTTTCTGCCATACAAGTGATTTACATATATACTGATGGTACTGCTTTGCATTTGAATATTTTTTTCATTAATACTTTTCAAATATAACATCCCAACATCTGACTAGAAGAGCTGAGTAAGAACATTATTCAGATGAGTAGAAACACACTATAGTAATCATAAACACCAGAAAAGAAAACAGGCTG